CCGCTAAATGGTTTTACGGCTGGGGTTAGGGTTATCTTCATTGGCAATTCAGTGCCGGGAACCTTTGGAACCCTTGCGATAGGTAGTTGAATAAATATTGAGTTTGTGCAAAGCTCTTTCCTACTAGCTGTGGATAATTTGGAGCTGGAGAAATGAAGCTTTGTGAGCTTTTTAGTGAAGAGGGGATTTGTAATGTTTTGTTATGCAATACTTTTTGGGGCAGGAAATTATCGAAACAATGTGGTATCGAAAAAAGTTGTGCTCTTAGACGTGCTATGTTATCTAATAAAAGTGTCTCTCGAAGCAGCATATGCAAGCAAATTTTCTAGAGAAAATTTTTAGAAGACATTAAGTGTTTTTGGAATAGAAATTTGTTTTGCAAGGTTTCTTGGAAGATTGTTTTTAATATTTTTTCTGGGATTGTAGGTTTATACCGAGCTAAGTAAACCAAATGCCTTCTTTATAATGTCATTAAAGGCACTGCATAGTTTTGAAATAGGTAGACAAATTTAGGGCTTATTACGTGCTAAACACTTCTTTTAATTTAATTTTTTCTTTTGATAATTCAGCTAACATTATTAGTGATGTTTAAACACGAGCCATTCTATTTAAGATGACTTCTTTTCTGCGTCGAAATTTCAGTTTTTTTAACATTGCTGACTAATGAAGCTCTATTCTGTATTAGAAGGTTTAAGAGGTTTGCCTTGAAAAGTTCACCTTTTGCAGGACTGAACAGAGCTTAATTGCTATTTCCTATGAAAGGATTTTTGCTCAACACGATTATTCTCAAAGAAGTTCAGTTTGTTTACTGACGACAGATTTCGTGGTTTTTGTCATCTCATAGCGTGTCTTTGTTGGACTCAGTGAAAAGCTAGATTGTGTATACTAGTGAAGTATATGAGAGGCTACAAGAGAAGGGGAACTTCAAAACGTTATATTAAAAAATGCTATGATCTAAATCTTTGGGAAGAATTTTTTGAAGGTATTTCCTCCTTAAAAAATTTCGAAATCGCAAGTCGGCATTGAATAGCTATAGAAGTTAGAGGATAATAAGTGAATTGGAATGGGAGAGTTTCTAATGCACGTAGAATTTTGAGTGTCGTCAGATGTGCTGGCTGGAACTTCTGTCCGTGAGCTTACTGACTGCAAAACTTGCAGAAAAAATCCGTTTTGCATAACAAAATAATGTTAAGGCGCTAAAAATTTAAAGAAGTCTTCTGTTTTGATTTACCTCTCGTCTTCTAGCTCCCTTACCTGCTCGATATCTGAATTGCAGTTTTGACATTTCACAAGAGAAATACGTTTTTGAAAAAATTATTTATTTATTTATTTATTTATTTTTGAAGAGATGTGAAATATAGAACTTCGTAATCTTTTTATTTCAATCTTATACGTCCCTCATTATTTTGAGCAATCCAGTTTCTTTTTGGATCTACAGGAGGAAAAACTTTCCAGAGCAGTAAATATCAGAAAAATCCTCTCTGAGTTATTAAGATGGTAATTCTTTAGAGTTTTCAGTCATCTTATTCTTATTCATGCTTTAACGCAGTATTACTCTATCTATAGTACACTGTTTGCGATAGGCTTCGATCCTTTCAAATTTCAGTTCATAATCTACAGATCAATAAAGTTTGAAGAAAATCTGAGACGTTTAGTGATGAAAGTGTGAGCAAAGGTAGCTTGGCTCAGATACTCATCCATTTCTCGCTTTGCCGTAACAGCACCAACGAAATTTAGTTTGAAATAATGAATAGCGATAAAATAACTGGGTTCTAGTCTTTATTGGGGACGAGCACAACTAAATTACTTTGCTCTTACTTTTTACGTGTAGCATGGAGAAAGCACCGAAATTTTCTTTTTGGTTTCGGATTTACAAATTACCTAGAAAAGTCTTTAGAATTCAAGCATATAACTTAGTGCTTAACTGAACATTCATTCTACGTATTTCCTGTCGCTCACTAATGAGCGTTTTCAGTCATTTTATCGCAACTGATTCTGTTTATTATTGTGCACTTTTTCAGACTTAGCTGCTTTGGGAGCAAGTGCTTTGACTCCACTGGACGTTTATAGGCAAATATTAGCCATGGGCTTTTCAGAACAGCAAGCACAGCAACAACTAGCATTGCTAACAGCTGATCCTCGTGTTACGGTACTTCTTTGTGCACTACATGGGTGACAGGGTCTTTTTGGTGTTAACTCTTAAGTTCTGGCTTAAGTTTCAAGAGAAGAATGTATAATTGATGGTTTTCACTGTTTTTTTTCAGTCGTAGAAAGTGCTGGGTTAGAGAAAACCACTTATCTCTATGATTACCGCAACCTTTTTAAATATGCAGAAAACAGTTTTACAGGTTTGGCAACTTCTACATCAACAGCAGCAGCAACAGCAAGTTGCAGCAGCTGCTGCAGCCTTGAAGCAACAACAACAGCAACAGCAGCAGCAGCAACAACAGCAAGCAGTCGCTGATGCTTTACCAGGAGCTGCAATCAGTGCCTTATTAGCAGGCCTTCAAGATCACTCTCTTTTACTCTCGAATCCTGCATTGCTACAAGCGGCTGTTTCCACGTTTCCCGGATTTATGGAGGCAGTGCAAGGTAGCATTCTAGGCCCCCATTCAACTGCTTCCAATGCAGCCGTTGTTGCAGCTGCTGTTGCTGCTGAAGCTCAGCAACAGCAGCTTGCGAGGGCACAGTTTTCACGTGTAGCGTCTCCTGCAACAGTAGATCTCCGCGTGGCAAACGAACAGAGACCTGGATCAGAACAGCAGCGAATGAGCGCGACTCCAGGAGCTGATCAACAGGCACAGAATTCGATTAAATTGCTGACAAAAGATTTTGAAAAAGCAGAACAGCTTAGGAGAGAAAAATTACTGTTAGCTAAGCAGACGATGGATATGTACGAGAAAAAGGTATAATTTGGAGTTAATTATAAAAAACTTTATATCTTCGAACGGTATTTTTAATTTTCTGAAAAATCCTGCTTATCAAACTAGCAAAAACAACTTTTATTCATTAGTATGTTTAGATAGCTGATGGAAAACGTTATCAGTATTTGGAACAGCAGATGCGCAACTTGGAAGATGTATCTTTTTTTTGTAACTATTTTGAATATTTTCAGTTGTTGATTAAGTCTTTAAATTAATTGTTTTTTTTTTTTATATCTTTGCTGAAAACTTCTCATCATTTTTTATTTTGCTTATTACTTTTTTTTATTTTACCTTCAGAATGATTGCGGTCTTCAACTAAAAAATTTTTAGGAAGAACAGACATTACTTGCTAATAGAAATGAACTGCGAAAGCAGGAGATAAGAATTGTCAATCATGAACGTGTTGCGCCGCAGTTTTATCACAAGAATCCCGAATTAAGATCTACAGTTACTGAAGCAATTAGGAAAATTGAAGAAAAAATGAGTGCTATTAAGCACGTGAAAAGATCTCTTGAAGAAAGCATGCGGAAATTAGGTAATTTAGTGTTAGGGGATTGGAAACTCTTCATTAAACTTTTGTATGGTTGATTTAATAACAGTTCAAGTAACTTTACAGTTAATAGCGCTGGACCGTCTGGTGTGATAGTGCGTGGAGGAGCAGAAGAACGTTCTGTTGGACTGGTAAGCAAAGGAGCCATGAAAGAATTCCCGGCTTCTGTTGCCAAACAAGAGGTATCTGTACCTTCCGTACCTTCGCCTCTCGCGGCCGCCACACTAATTGGTATTAACCGATCCGTGAATGACTCTACACTTGTGCACAAGAAGGTTGTCATTGTATTTTGAGTATCAGAGTCATCTGGTCCTTTTTTTAGTAGAAGTTGCTTGCATAAGTTTTTGTTGAAGCTGTTCCATTGTTGCTAAATATTTAGGAAACCCCAGCTATTCACCAGCAGCAACAGTCTCAAGCGCAGCTTTACATGGCACAACTGGCCCAGCGTGTAAAGCCCGCTGACCCAGGTGCCCCTTCTCTGACTTTGGGTAGATCAGCGGCTCAATTTCGGTCCGACCAACCATACAAGGACGGTTTGTTGCTTCGATTTATTATGTTGTTACATTATCTTTGGTTGTATTTAAAAATCATGTTTGTATAATTATAGAACAAAGCACCACTTCTTTTCAACTTTTGAAATTTTTGAACGGCACCTTTTACTTTTTTTTTATCTCTTCTAGTTCTTTAGAATTGAAATTGGATACTGGTGTCTCCGAGCAGTCTCGTCAACAGGTTCAAACTACTGAGGAGGAACTTTCTATGGCTGATGTGAAGAGGAAAACTGGTGAATGGATTTTCAGTATTGTCTCTTTCTGCTTAATAATCTTCTTGACTTCGTTCAGCAGCATCTGTAACTCAGAAAACTTTTAGGATTATACAATGCTATTCTTCCGTCAAAAGTTGATACCCACCACTCTCCTGGATTGAGGACGACAAGGGCGGGTCCTACTCGAGTTTCAGGGATTCTCGGAAAAACGAATATTGATGCCGATAATCGCCAGCTCAATCCATCGGAAGAGCAGGCGTTACATAAACAATTAACGGCAAATATTTCTTCACCTTCACCCCACTTAAGTGGTCTGTCTTGTCCCAAACAGCAGCCTTCAGGAAATACATCGCCACCACCGCAGTTTGCTCATTTGCCGTCCGCCGTTGCATCATTCCAGCAACAGGCGCTTAGGCAATCTCAGTCTCCTCAAATAATCTCTGCTTCTCAAGCTTCGCAGTCTCCAGCACCAAAATTACCAACAAGTTCTGTAGGCGCAATGTTTGGCTCACCAGTCCCCGTTAACGTTTCAGCAGCCATAATGTCTCCTAGGGCTACTCTTTCGATAAATCCAAACACCTCCACTTCGCGACCCTCCACCCATCCATCTCCTCAGTCTTCCGGTGCATTTTCAATGTCGACGCCTGGTTCTTCTCCGTTTCAAGTACTTTTTTTTTTTTTTTTCAAGGACATTCTTGTAAAATTATTAAGAATATTATACAACCTTTTAGCATTTCAGCATTTTAACCCTTTTGACATTAATTTTTACAGATGTCTCCATCACTAGGCAGTATGTCTCCAAGTATTAGTGCGTCACCGCATGCCGCATTTGGAACACCGTTCCAAGTTCCTGCCTTTGTCCCTACCCAACAGCTTAATATACCTAATGTTTTATTTCCATCAGCGGCTACTTCACCGGCAATGGGGAACGAGACTTCTCTAAAGTCTCAAAAATCGTCTGAGGTGAGAACTTTAATGCTGGTTTTTAGTTTCAATCGTGGTGTGACGTTGCTAATACAAGTTTTTTTATTTAGAAGACTGAGAAGCCGTTACCGGTTGGCACGTGTGCTTCTTCTTTCTCCCCAGCGACTAGTGACCCAACACGAAGTGTTGGAAATGTCACTTCTGCCCTTGAGGAAATGTCATCGGAGTCTTCAAGTGGGAATGCTGCTACTACTACGCAAGCTGAGGCCACTCCATCTTATTCAAATGATTATGAACCGTTGTCTCCTGATGCAGTTGACTCTTCTCCACAGAATACTGGATATTCTTCGTCGCAGACAGGTGCTTATGAGACTTTGCGAGTTAGGGTTGAGACGTTTTATGAGTTTTGTTGGGAAATTACGAAAGATTTACACTGAAACTTGCACTCGCTTTAATTTACATTGTAGTTCTGTGATGGGTAGCATTTACTTTAGGTACTCCTGAACAAAATGGGATGAGATTATTTTCTATGTTGAATCTCCCTGAAAGCGGTTCGAGCTCATCTACATCCGCACGACAAGGACTTTCGGAATTTGAAGAGTCTCCTAGAGAATATGAACAGGTACTTCCAGCCTCAACACCTGCAATACAGCAGCCTTCTGCGACCGTACAACCTGCACAGTCTGGAGCAGAAAACTACTTTGAACCCCTTTCTGATGATGAATGAAATCGAGTTTTTACAATTTTTTTTATAATTTTATCTTCTTCTTGGTTGTTTCTCATATAAAAAAATGTTTTTGAAATTTAATTATTTTATGTGACTGAGATTCCTTTATTCTGATCTCTCTTGCTTTTGTACCTTAATTTTACACTCTTTCACTGGTGGATTTGTGATATTGATAGAAGGAAATTGGCTTTCGGTACATGAGCGCTTTGCTTAGTACTTAAAAGTTGTATTTGTAGACAGTTTGTACGTTTCTTTAAA